TATCGTATTAAAATTTAAAGGAATAAATATTTTATGATTATTTGCTCCATCATAACCTTGCCCCCTCACATATATATTTAAAAATAATAATAATAAAAGCTATAAGAAATAAAAATAAAACTAATATCGTATTAAAATTTAAAGGAATAAATATTTTATGATTTCTCACCTGAGCCATACTAAAGTTGTTGGAAAATACAGTACCGATGGCGGCTTTAAGAGTCAAAGAAGATGTATCCAACCCGTGAACAACTCCAATAAATCTTTCCTTTACAATCTCAAGTCTATCGACATATCTCAAAACTATAGCCATTTGTTCTTTTTTGGAAACATCGCTTGACTCATCAACTAAAATAGCGAAAACATCTTTACCAATTTCATTACAAATAGACTTGATTATCTATTTTGAAAAGCAATTGATAATATCTTTTTGAATCGTCGGAGAAGTCAACTTTTCATTTTTTTGGGGCATTTTCTAAAGTAACTTTAAAAATCTTCTCATTATCTTCTCTAATCAAAGATAAGACTTCAATGAAAAGTCCTTTATTATTAGATTTTTCTTTCTCATCATGTCCACGAAATGGTAATGCATTTTTCAATAAAAATCTACAACTACGAATTGTAGCACGTAATCGAATTTCATAATTACTTTTTTCAAGTTTCGTTCACTTATGCAAGACTTCACCAATAGATTGGTTTTTTTCTCAATAGCAAATCACACTTTTCTTGGGCCTTATGGTGATAACTTTGAATATTAGTCGTATGTTTTCGGAATGGGCTTTTTTTACTCCAATTGTCAAAGCCTGTGGTTATAAATGCATCTCTTCCACCTTGTTCCTCTACCATGTCTCCTAACAAGTAGCAACAAAAACAATATGCCTTCTTATTTTTTATGCTATACTCTAACCATGGAAAATCAGTAAACCATTGCACAACAAAAACAAAACGTCTTAGCTTATTACTAAATAAGGTATATTCAAAACTATGCCCCTTTGGTTGACAAGGCCTTTTAATCAAATATGCCCTCCTTATTTCATCCCTTTGATTAGGATTATAAGATGTTATCTTTGGCCTATCCCCCGGATCCGAAGGAAGATCATCCAAATCAAAAGATTGTCACTTTTGGTTTTTGAGTAAGTTCATTAGATTGTGCTTCTTGTGGTTTTGGCATAGGTTGACTAGTTTGTGGAACTTGATTACTTTCATTAGCCCTGTTTTTTTTTTTTGGAAGTTCATTCACCATTGTTGTCTCCAACATCTAAATGTCTTTTGAAAAAACTTTTAATAGAAACCTACAGTTAAAACATATGAACTATAAACTTGATTTCAATTTTCATGTTTCAACAACAGTCAACAAGTAACAACCTACAATCAAATTAGCAATTATCAAGATATATCAACTATGAACTTGATTTCAAGTTTCAACAACAAATAACAATATACAATCAAAAAATATCAACTATGAACTTGATTTCACGTTTCAACAACAAATAATAATTAAGTATTAACCCTAAGTCCCTAATTTAACAAAGTTACTTGTTAATTTCTAATTTTTCAAACATAATCACAAAAAATTGGAACTTGAATTAACCTAAATACATTATATAATTGAGTAATTGGTTATACTAACTTGTTTCATCGTGATGGAGGAGGAGGTGGTGGCCGGAATTCTCCCTCATACAAGCCACAGGCGACGTCAATTGAGACGAAAAGGGCTGCAAAGTCGAGATTGGTTGAAAATTGAGAAACAGAAGACGAGCTGGAGTCGACTATGGAGTGTCGCCAATGAGAAATTGAGAATTACGTCCGATTTTTTTTCATTAACTATTGGCCTTAATACCTGTTTGTTTCAATAAACTAGTTAATGTGGGCTTAAAAATTTTGGACCATTTAGGCTAGTTTGTATTTTGGACCATTTAGAAATAACCTCAAATATTTTAGGGAAGCCCAATTTTTTTTCCGTTATAAAACCGCAACATAAAACAAAATTTTCCAAAAAAATTAACACTACTAAAAAAAATTTGAGGGATCCACATAAGATCCGCCAATGGTTTGGGCTAAATGCAAGTTTTGTTTTTTTTTTTTTTTTTTTTTTTTTTTGAAAGTCCATGATTTGGCCGAATGGAAGTATATACCTATTTTTCGCTTCAACAAAGTATGTCATAGTTTCTCCAAGTCTCGGGTGGTATATTGCTATTTACTTTATGTTTCTTGAAATGGAACATTTTCATGTCTTTGTAATGATCTATCATATGCCCTTATTTTACTGTTTTATAAAACTTTTAATCCCTCACAATTACATTATTAGTAATGCATCAAAAAAAAATATTTGAATTATACACTATGTATTTCTGGGAACACTTTGTAAATCTAACTCCTGCAACACGGAGATCCTTCCCAAGTTTGTTTATAATTTCTTATTTTCTTAATTGTGACATTGAATGAGAAATTGAGACTATCTTTTTCATTTGCATAATTGCATGCACTTCTTTTTTGGTTTGTTATTAATTTTTGTTTATTTGTTGTTACAATGATTTTTGAAATTTCAAGAGAAAAAATAGAGAAAAACAACTAGACAACTCTACCATAATGTGTTTTCGTTCGTTACTATTTACTAGTTATTTTTTATATTCTTAATAGTTACTTTGTATCTAAAAAGGTTAAAAAATGTATTTTTCATAAATTATTTGATTTCCGAGAATTTGGGCCAAAAGCTTTAATTTTTCTCTCGTTCCAGCCAACTACATGAATAGATATTTTTGAAGGATGGTATGTAGTTTCATGTGAACAACTTTGGGAAATAAAGTATATAAACATCTCATCTCGTGTATATTGGTTATGCATGCATGGATCTTTGTAAGTAGGTATGAACATACATAACACATATACAACTACATATATGTATGTAGGGATGTGTGTTTTGACCGAATATCCGAACCGAAACCCGGACCGGACCGACCCGAATAAGTTATTTGGGTCGGTTCTCGGATATCTATTTTTGCTCAATTCGGGTTATTCGGTCCGGGTTACCCGAATAAATGTTTAATCGGGCAAAAAAGACCGACCCGGAAAATGAATAGTCACTTGAACCGAATAACCCAAATAAACTGAAATAACTTGAATAACTCAAATAAACCGAAATGACCCGAATAACCCAAATAAGGAAATTTTATATTTAGTTCAAGAAAAAAAATATATTAAATTAATATTTATTTTCTTGAACTAGATATAGAATTTCCTTATTTGTGTTAGGGAAAATGACGTATAGGCCCTATAATGTTTTTAAGGTTTACCCATTTAGCCACTTAATTTATTTTGTGGTTTAATAAGGGAACGAAGTATCTGTTACGTATCAATATAATCTCTTTCACCTATTGTATCCGGTATACGTTGCCACATAAACCTAGCCTAACACGTAAGCAATGACATGGCAATAATTTAAAGCGTCGAACTACCGCAACGACGTCGTATTGAAGGCGAATCGTAAGGAGCAAGGATCGACTGTTCAAGCGCCGCCATATAAAATCAAGACTTCCGTGACCTAAAATGGCACATCTGCAAACTTCATTACCCCAATCTCGTCTCTAAGTTTACTCCAAAATGCCTTTGATTGCACATGCAGAACACAGCTGGTCTCCAAACTACCGCCGTCACATGGATGAGAATCATTCGAATGGTGTAACCAACGAAGACATGGCCATCAATCTACTACAAACCCATCTGGAACTGTCTCTTATACGGGAGGACTTCCAAGACCAATTGCGTGAGCTCCGTCAGGCAGTTAATCGAGACTTGGATGCCATGAACCGTGAGGTCGATGACGTTCGCGCTAGTCAGTTGGATATCTCAAATATCGTTGCTGATCTTAAAAATCATTTCATTTCTCTGCAAGGAGCATATGTGAAGATGGTCTTCCAGCACAACAAACGTAAGAAGCTGAAGTATTGTATTGGGATTGTTGGTGTTGTTACTGTGTTTGTGGTGACCTATATGTTCTTTAACTAAAAAAAGTTGTGTAGGTTGAAGCATTTCAGTCCCGGGTTTGTGTTTTGGTGTGTTATTTATGTTGTTTAGTGTCAATATTAGTAGTAGATTTTGTGTATGTTGCTGGTATTAGTTTGTGATGTTGGTGTGTAGATTTGGTGGTGGTGTTGCCTGGGCTGCTGATGGTCATCGTTTTTTGATGAAGTTTTTTGTCGATGATCTATGTAATAGGTTATTCAATAGCAGAAAGTGATGTAAACAAACCCATGGCTGAAATGTGTTTTAATATGTTATTATTAAAAAAATTGTCTTACACCTGTATCTGTATGTGTGCATGAAAGAAAGAAAACATTTGGGGATTATATATGTTTCAATAACTTGTTCCTAAGCCAATCATGTGGATGTCCATCGACTGGGACGGGACCACAAGCCAAAGCAAAATGAATATACCTTTTTAATGCACATAGACAGGGACCACAAATGGTGCAGTTTGGGAAAATGGACAAAACTAAACAATACCTTTGCACACGATGCATTGTGTCTGCTTGTCTGCAAACCTTTTTCGGAAAAAAATAGGGAAGTTTTCTAAAGATGGACTTTTTCATGTTGAATGGATTAAGTCACAAGTACCCTGTTTTTGACAATGACTTAATTACCCCCACACCCAAAATGGTCAATTTACAATGACTTAATTACCCCCACATCCAAAATGGTTAATTTACAATGACGTAATTACCCCCACACCCAAAATGGTCAATTTACAACGACTTAATTACCCCCACATCCAAAATGGTCAATTTACAATGACTTAATTACCCCCACATCCAAATTGGTCAATTTACTTTGTAATGACTAAAATGCCCATACAACCCCTACATATTTGTGGCACGGGACAACAATAACATACCATATAACAACTTACCCACACAACAAAACAACATAGTAGACCATAAAAGAACATACATAGATCATTTATTTATTGCAACACACATTCACTACAAATAACAAACAATTATCTAATCCAACTCCATGTCCGTTGCAAGACTGCTACCTTCACCTCCCACATATTTTGCAAGCTTCATTTTAATGATTCTTTCTGACTTTTTTCGTTTGTTAGGCGGTTTAACATGCTTAACTTGATGAACACGAGCATTGACCTTCACCCCTTCCTTACCAGTCCTCTCCAAAGCATCACTAGCATCTACCATTACCTCATCATCCCCATCCCCTGTGGCAACATTTACAGACTCCTGCGTAGGTATAGTTTTTTGTTTCTTTGTTCCATTTTGTTTGGATGTCCCTACACCTTTACTACAAGTAGCCTTGTTGTGTCCTTTCTCCTTACATATACTACAAGAAACTTTCTTCCCTGCCTTGGAGACAGTGTGTTTTCCCATCCGTTCAGAAGCATCTCTTCTTCTCTTTATTGTTGGCCTGCCTGGCATACGTCTTTTCAATGGAGGCAAAGGGGGTATCAAGTAAGTAGAAGGCCACATATTTTTTTCCATTCATCCCATGGATTGGCTGTTTGTAAGTATTATGGTATAATGCTGCCAAGTACATTGGATCTACATATGGACCATCAGGTGTGATATTAAAGTTGGCTAAGGTGGCAACTGAGTGTACGCAGCCATATCCATTAAGTTGCCATAGCCTGCAGCTGCATTCCTTTTTTCAACATCAACAGTAAACGCCTCGTCCATTTTCCTTGCCTCAAATTTCATCCCCCCACAAGATATGACCTGCTAATTCCTACATATATAGATGAAAACCGCAAATATCATGAGATGTGAAGAGTAAGGTACTAATGTAATTGGATAAATGTACAAACCTTTGCTTAGTCTGGAGCATATTCAACCGTATTTTGATATTTGGACAAACAGAATAACGATTCCATCCTTGTCTGGTTAGTTTCATAGTCACCATCCTTTGCATCACATATATACGAATGTCCTCTAACATGCTTATTATTGGTTTCTTCCAGGCATCCAAAATCACACTATTAAAACTCTCTGAAAAACCATTCTCTACTGACTCACAAGAATTATGAACTCTGAAAAAAGCCAAAGACCAAGTCTTTGGATCTCTATCCATAAGATGCACAACTGCTTCCGGATTTAATTTTCCAATCTCTTTCATAAGTACATTAAATTGTGCTTCAGTTGTTGCCTTGCTCGCTTTCCAAAACAGATTTTCAAACTTGGATCCACTAAATCTCTTTCTAAAATTCGCGTAGATATGTCTAGCACACTGCCTATGTTCGGATGATGGAAATACTTCCTTTACTGTCTCAATCAAACCCTACATAAGTCACATTAATGTTTGAAATTAGAATAACAATTAGTAATTTTACAACATGCACTAGTTTTGAACCATACCTTGTGTTGATCCGAAATTAGAACCAAACAATATCCATCATTCCAACATTGCAAATCTTCTGAAAGAGTTTCTATGAACCATTTCCAATTCTCTTTGTTTTCCACACAAACAACTGCCCAAGCAATCGGGAATATTCCATTGTTAGCATCTCTACCCACAGCACAAAGCAACTCCCCTTGACAAAAACTTTTCAGAAAACAACCATCCAGGTTAATGATCCTCCTACATCCTCCCCTCCATCCCTCTTTTACTGAAGCAAAACATATGTATATTTTTGCTAAAATAATTCTTACCATCAGGCATTGAATCAACACAAATTTTAACTGTGGATCCAGGATTTGATCTTCTAATCTCCTCACCATATGACCATATTCTTGCATAATTTTCAACTATTGTGCCTTCAGCTAGAATCAATGCATACTTCTTGGCTCGCCTACACTGACTCATACTCACATTAATCCCAAAAGCGGTTTTTACCTCCTCTCTAAGCAATCGGACGCTCATCTTTTGACTGTTATAAAATTGGTGCTTAAAGTGGGTCCTTATCCATTTGTAAGTCACAATTGATCTGAATTTGAAATTTTTTGCACAATTATGCTCACCGATAAGAGAATTTATCTGGAAAGACTTATCCACACTCATCCAAGAACCCCAAAGCCTAAAAGTACATTTTCCATCACAATATTTGACAAGTAATTGTCTAGTATCATTCTTAACAAAACATAATTGATAACCATTCACGACGACATAGTTACAAAGCATGTGTTTCAATTGCTTAGGACTCTCAAACCTCATACCTAAAACAGGTTCCTGCTCCTTCCAATTGAGCTTATCATTGAAAATGTTTGGCAATTCGGGATAAACATTTTCATTGTCACCCATGTCTTCTTCTACTGCCTCACCTACACCTGCTTTCTCACCCATGTCTACCTGAATCTCATTATCCTTTATAAAAAAAATGAGTCTTCTGATGGTCATCCTCATCGTCATCGACATCCTCATCCTCGTCGTCATCATCGTCGCCATTCGCTTCCTCATCGTTTGTGTCACCCACATCTCGATTCCCTGTTGCAACTTCCTTAACCAGTCCTGCACCATCAAGTACTTCTTCCTATACGTTACCAACAAACTCGTCTTTGTGTTCATCCAACCATTCATGTATGTTACTATTCCCAAAATGGTCTTCATACATAGGGAGTATAACACCACATTCATATGCAATTGCTATGAAGTCGTAATAATCGGGGTCATTGCAAATTAGAGTCAAACCTTTTGGAAATCAATATCAGGTTGGCAGTAATAGAGCTTCTCACACTTTTCCCCAGTGAACCTTTCGATAAACGCAACACACCCATCCTTGTCTATTCCTACGAAATCGATGTCCGAAAACCTCTGAGTAAATCCACCGGTGTACCGTATGGGGTTTCTGGCGAACATTCCTTGGAAGTGGACATCTACTTGTAAGAATACAGGTTCCATGCTTGAGGATTTAGAAGCAGCTCACAAAAAAGGGTTTATCGATGAAGTGTTGAATAGTGGATGTAAAAGGGCTCTTTTATAAAGCATATACCGACAGTAAGAAGGAAGCGACTAATTAATGACATGGCATTAGACGAAAGTCACAGTCAACAGCCGATGTGGTGTTAATAGAAGGAGGTGGACTTAAAATGATCGGCTAACCCCTTTACAATTGAAATAAGGACTTAATCGATCCGATAAAGAGTAATTCGTTACCTTATTAAGCAACAAAATAAGTTAAGTGGCTGAATAGGTAAACCCTAAAAACATTATAGGGCCTATGCGTCATTTTCCCTTTGTGTTATTCGGTCCATTTCGGTTTATTTGAGTTATCCAAGTTATTTCGGTTTATTTGGGTTATTCGGTTCAAAAATGTAGTGTAAATGTTTATTTGTGTTATTGCGGTCCCCTTTCGGGTTAATAACCGAACCGAAACCCGTATCACCCGAACTAAACCAGTCCCATATTAATATAATTGGTCTGGGTTTCAGAACCCACTTTTCATCCAATTCGGGTTTCAGGTTCGGATCAGTTCCAGCCCGAAGCACATAATATGGATGTTCATACCTACTTACAATGATGGAGATGTTTTGTTCCCCAAATTTATTGTCATGAAACTTATCTGTCTTCATGTGGCTTCTCCACATTATAGTGGATAAATATACAGCTTACACAGTAAGTTGAGAAATAGATGAAAATGTTCATAAAATAAAATTGCACTTTCATCGATTTTGGACAATGAGATTGATTTCAATCTATGTCTCATATCCATATGATATCTAGATGAACGGCGAAATATTTGATCACTTATCTAAATGACAAATATGATTTATCTGATCGGATCAGAGTTCGGTAGTTGCCTTAGAAAGCACCCTTTGCTGTTTAATTTTAGAAGTTATACCCGTAATTTAGTTTTATACTTATCCAAGTGGGAGACTATTGGATTAGGTGTCTAAGCTAATAAATAAATTAGTATGAACTTGAATTATTAGCAAAGTCCTTTTGGGTTGCCCTCAAACCTAGTAATTGACTGGATTGCTATTTGGAGAGAGAGAGAGAGAGAGAGAGAGAGAGAGACTGATTTATTAATTTATTATATAATTAATAAATTAATTAGAAATCAAAATAAGTGATTTATTAATATATTATGAGATTAATATATTAATTAGAAATAGTATTGTTTAATTAAGAATTAATCATAAATTAATTGAAGTTAATTTTGGGGTTAATTGTATTAATTAGAAGTGGAAGGACTAAAGGTGTCAATGTTCAAAAGTTAAACATTGACCAATTCTATAACCTCCGTAGGATGAGGGACGAAATTGTAGTTGGTTATAGGGTTTGTAGATGGTTTCTAGAGCTTTTCTTGGGCTCTAAGGAAACTTGGATGCCTTAAGGGGAAAGCAAAAAGGATAAGGCTTACCCAAGGAAACTGCCTTATCCTTAGCCTCCCTATCACCTATATAAACCCTCCTAAAGGTTCAAAAAATTTTCCATCCCTTCTACAATAGGTAGAAATGAAAATCCTTCCTCCTCTCCTCTCTCCTCTTTAGCCTCCAACTTGCTAGGGTTTGGATGTAAGCCATTAGAGGCACGAGACTTCTAGTGCTTGCTCTCTAAAGGTAGATCAAGAAGGAATAATTGTTTATTTACCAAAATAAACATAAGTTAAGTATTTTCTGATAACCTTTTAGTTATTTTCAAAAATAGCGATGTACTTCTAGGGTTCTTGATATTCAATAGTTGTTTGCAAATTATAGTGAGAACATAGATACTTTAGGGTGCATGTGAACTTAGTGTTTATGTTTTTTCCGCCAAAATAAGATTTTTGTAACATATAAAACCCATCAAGAATCTCCTGTGAATAGGCCTCCTCACCTATCGGAGACCTAACCGCATGATAAAGTCTTTTCACCTCTAGGAGACTCAATCACAAAATATCGTCTACATGAGTAAACCTAATCACCTCTTATTGGCCTAAACATGTAAGTCTCATGATCTCAACCAAGATTCTCATTATATTGATCTTTTACATAATGAGATCCAATCACTTCTCATGGATCTATTATGTAAATCTCATGATCTCAATCAAAAGTCCTCATTGTTGAATCTCATTTTATATATCTCTTTCTCTTTCTCTCTCTTTATCATAACTCATTCAATGTATCTCTTACTATATATCTCTTTCTCTTTCTTCCTCTCCATTTTTCTCTAATCGCCTCTCATTCGTATACTCATATATACAAAATCATTATGATTTTTCACATTGATTCGACTTAGGAGTGGTGTCATCACTCTTACTCACACTCTCGTACTCAATATATTCTTGGCATTTCTTCCCTTGATGCCACTCTATTTACATTTACAACATATATAACATTCAAATTCATTTTCAATAAGCATCGTGCCATGGTACCTCTTGGATTGCGCCACAATCTAGCTTTATCTTATGACTCTCTAAATATTCATAATAATATAGACAATCTACTTTCAATTCGCTCCGTGCAAAACTCTCGTCGTGTCGCGGTTACTCTAAGTAACAATTCTCATAACCATGTCGCGGTCTTACTCTTACAGCGTCATGATCACCACATCCATT